TAATTTCATTAAGCCTATAATTTAGGAATAATAATTACTTTTATTTTCAGGACCATGGTAGACCTTCCCCTGTATTTAATTTTAAAACATTTCTCTATAAACTTTTTAGTATTCTATTTATGAGTCAAACATTTCATATTAATTTATAGATGTTGTAGATTTTCCATAAAAGTTTTCTTCAAGGCATGTAAGGTATGGGTATAAAGAGAAATAATCAACATTACTTTAAATGTCACTAATATGATAGTTTTCCCATTTGTTTTCTGTTATTTTTAAATAGATGGTTATTTATGAACTTGGTTAACATCTAGAGCTGAACAAACCATCTGATGAATATGAGGATCTCCAAATAATATTCTCTTGAGGAACTAGTTTCCAATTTCCAGCATGCCAAATTAGAAGCATTCTTAATTGCCAGTCCACAGCCTTTTAGCCAAGCAGGGCATGAATGATTTTTCTGTCCTAATTTTCTTTTTCTTTTTTTGTATTATTTACATTTTATTCAATAAATCATATGAAAATGAAGTGTCACTTAATAAATCTCTGGCTGACATAAAGCTTAGAAAAAGCAAATGTATTGAATGACAAAATTCACTCAAAAGTATGTCAAAATAAAGATACTCTCAATTAAAATCTGTTACATATAATGCCAGAAGAAATTGAAAGTCTTATATTTATGATACAAATCAATAATAACACCAAAGAAAGTGAAAGGAGATCCATGGAATGGGAGAAAATATTTACAACTCATATACTTGATAGGCAATTTGTATCTGGAATATATAAAGAATTCTTACAACTCAATAAGTAGACAAAGATCCAATATTAAAAATGGGCAGAGACTCTGGATAGACTTTTCTTGAAGATATACAAATGACCCAAACCATAATGAGATGCCATTCTGCAATACTGGGATGACTGTAATCAAAAAGACAGCAAGACATGGTGAGAATGTGGAAAAATTGGATCACACACACATTGTTAGTGGGAGAATGCAAAATGGTGTAGCCACTTTGAGAAACAATCTGGCAGTTCCTCAAAAGGTTAAATATGGATTTACTGTATGACCCAGCAGTTCCACGATGTGTATACCTAGGTAAATACCCAAGAAAAAAGAAAACATGTATCTACACAAAAACTTGTACACTGTAGCAACATTTTCTGAAATAGCCAAAAGGTGGAAATAACCCAAATGTTCATCAATTGATGATGGGTACATGAAACATAGTGTATCTTTATACTGAAATATTATTTTTCCATAAAAAGCAATGTGGTCTGAGATGGCTACCATGTGAATAAATATTTACTTCACGTTCTTTGAGGCATGCTAGAGAGGGTAGAATATATTCACCAAAAACAGCATCAGAAGTCCTCTCTGGATCCCCCATGTTGGGCAATTGCACTGCTGCCATTAGAACTTGAACGTCATCTCTTTCTTTAGCACACCAACATGTTTCTCAATTGTCAATTTGTGTGTGTGTTGGGCCCTACATTTCAAAGCCTCCCATCTCTCTGCAGTAATCTCTTGTCAGTTTATCTACACTAGTTCCTTTCATCTTACTTTTGCCAGAGTGATCTTTCTAAAACCCAAATTTGATCCTGATACTACTTTGGTTATGTTGTAAACATATGGATGCTAATCACACAAAGAGAAATAGAACTTGGACTTGCATCTTGTGATTAAGGGATAAAAGCCAGAACTATTAGCACTATAGCCCAACTTCTAGAGGCCTGATCAGCCTGAACTTTTGCCATTCTCTACCTATTCCCTGACATCCATTCACTCTGGACCCTGAGAACATGGCTCATCTGACTCTTCCTGCTTTGTTCATGCTGTTCTTTTTTTTTTTTTTTTTTTTTGGTGTGGGGGGTGAGGTTCTGGAGTTTGAACTCAGGATCATGGGACCATTAAGCCACATCCTCTATTTTGTATTTTATTTAGAGACAAGGTCTCACTGAATTATTTAGCACCTCACTTTAATTATTTAGCACCTCACTTTTGCTGAGGCAGACTTTGAACTCTCGATCCTCCCACCTCAGCCTCCCGAGCCATTGCAATTGCAGGGGTGGGCCAGTGCACCCAGTTTATTCTGTTCTTTGACTGGGCTTCTCCTCATGGCAAAATCCTCCTTTCAATGTCAAATTCAATACCATATATATGAAGCTTTTCTCAATCTGTATCCCATTTTCTAATACCACAGTACTAACTGCTCTCTTGACTGATCCAACAGCTGTTAGTTTGTCCCAGCCATACAGCACACAGGAACTTTGATAGCCAAGTGTCTACATGTCTGTTTCTTGGGCTTCATTGTGGTTGTCTTATACCAGGGGCCCTGAGTCAATCATCTTTTGATAGTTGCATGAAGCACATTGCCTTAAAATAAGCACTGTAGTGCTCAAGTCTGTAAGAAAAGGCCAACAAGTGAAGAAAATAATCAAACCATTTATCTTTTTCTGATATTACCATGTTTCCTCAAGACAAAAATCAACTTCTTTTTTTGCATTTTAGAATTGTACTATTCTTCTTAGCCTCAGTGAATATAACTGAGGTAGCATAGGATGCTAGAAAGTAGGGAGGATTTGGAATCAGAACCTAGGTTTAGTCTACACTAGCTCTATGAATTGAGCATGTCAGATAACTTATATGAGACTCAGTTTCCTCCACTGTAAAACAGGAATACCTTCCTAATGGGTTTTTGTGAAGATTGTTGAAATTATACATATAAGAAGGTGAAAAACATTTATAATGAGTAAGATCTATTAATATCATAATGAAAATGCTTCTATTTTCACTCTGGCTATTTTATATGAATACAAAGACAGTTTTTAATAAAATATTTCTATTTCAGAGATTTGACAAATCATTTTAGAAGAGTAAATCTCATGTAAATTTATGTATATATTGAAATTTCTATTTGTTTTTCAAAATGATACTTGCATCTAAGATCATCTAGGTTTTCTAACTTTTATAATATCCTGGGACGAGGTACAAAATCTCATCTTCCTCTCTTTGTTTCTAGCTAACCTACTCTAAGAGCACTATTGGGTTTCCACTGCTTAGAGTGCATGTGTGATAGGGATAATGTTTTGAATATACATTTTTTTTTCTTTCTCCCAATTCCTTTTTTCTATTTCCTCTCTCTTTTTCCAGCAGGTATTGATTGTGTTCTTAGTGATTCAGAATAGCACATGGCAGGATGGAAAAGACAAAGTGCACAAGCATGTCTGGCTGTTTAATTCCTAAGTGTAGGGGCAGAAGTAGTGAAGAGAGTGGAACTACTCTTCCAAACTAAAAAGAGATTTTTCTGAGCTGGGGAAGGGGAGATGAGGTGAAAAGAAAGAGAAGTCCATAGGTCGCAAAGTAATGCCCCTGCTTCCCAAGGAGTGCTGCTAGGAGGGGTGGCATGACCCCATAAAAACTGGCCCTGTGGGGTGTCTGGAAGCTTTTAAGGAAGCTAGTCATCTATATAATGGGATAATACCCACATCACCAAGCAAAGCAATTTTGAGAAACATAAGGAATAACTCATACAAATGGGTGATCCTAACTAGATACTCAGTAAGTGTTGTATTCCCATCAACCCACATTGACATTTTAGTCCTGTCCACTACACCAATTCCATTCCTGGATCATTTTCATGCTCTATTATTTCCCACATTCTCATTCTTGGACTGCAGAATGATTCTGGAGAAAAAAGCAAAACAATGCAGAACAGATCCCAGCTAGGGCCTTCATGGTAGCTGACTCTTGCTCCTCCTCTTCTCTGTCCTCCTACTACTCCTCCCTTCCCAACCCCCCTCTTCTTCCCCTACTTTTATAAACTTTACTTTGTTGCTAACTGAAAGTCCGGGTATCTAGCCCTTATGCCTTCTCTGCTTATACTACACAGAGATTCATTCCTTTCCACCAGCATAGCAAAGCAGAGCCTGGAAAGTGACACAGTAACAACCCCTTTGCCCAGGCAACTGCCTGGCAAGATTATGCTGGGTTAGGGTAGCAATAGGGCCTTCCAGACAAAACACAATGTCCTTCCATGGTGGAAGAGTCCTTTGGTTATGAGGTACTATTAAAGATTGTTTCCTTTGAAGAAAAGCTCTCCTCTCGGGCCTCAGGGCCAAGGAATTAAAATATTCCTTTGATTTCCTGTGCCTGGGTAGTAACTGTCTCAAAGAGTAATAATAGCCATGACAGCACATGGCCTCAGAACATGTGGACCAGAGAAGGATAGGCAGATAATTGAGTTATTCTCAGACATGTGATTTATGATACTCTGTAGCATCTGTGAGTCCCAGATGCATCCTCCTGGCCTTCCTTCCACCACCAAGTACACAGGACACTGAGGAATTCCTAACAAGACTTTGCTGTGTGCTCAGATGCACAGAACCAGGTCTGGGTTTCCTTTTGAGCTGAGCATACGCATCAGAGGACACTCAGTGCTCTTCATAGCTGCTCCAGAAGTGGATAAGTTCTCTTGGTTGGTTCAAGTTTCTACACTCAAACAAGTGTGGCAGTCCTTCATGGTGGTATATTTGATAGTGCCTTATAGTTACATAAATAAATTGGGGTTTCCCATGCTTTCTTCAGCAGTTTTTCAAGGGCATCTATTGTGATGTTATCCTTGGGAAATGTTATTATTTTTTTTGTTTTCTAGCAAACTATAAGAGTCCTTAGAGAATTGGAAATGGTATAGTAAGTTTTGATTATAGGAAAATCAATGTGAGAGCCAGCAGGCTTGGACATGGGAAGGTCGACACAGGTAGAATGCTGTATTGAAGTCTTGATTTGTAGGTGGTGAGGGATGTGTGGGGAGCCTAGCCTTAACCTTCTTTATTTTGGCCTTTAGTAGCAATGGTTAGGCCATAATTATTACTGTGGGTCTCTTCAAAGAGCATAGCTGCTCAGGAATTGATCCAATCTATGTCTTGGTTTATCCTATTTTAACCTTGAGGATGTGGTTTACTTTATGTTACACTATCCTCTTTTTCTCTATTCTTTACAGATTCATGAAAGTGGCAGGAAGCACTGTGGATGCAGTTACCTGGCAACAGTAGGTATTCATCATTTTTGCTCTTACTTACTATCACCTGTGTGAAATGAAAGATAATTAGTTGCAACCGAGTTCATAGCTGATGTTTAATAAACTTTTATCTTTTGAGAAAAAAATGAAATTAATTCCAAAACTGTTCTAGTACTATAATTTTGTTTTCAAAACACACATACACACACAAAAAAATACTGACATTTTGGGGAGCTTGGCTATTTTATGTACACTCTTAATCTGCTGTGAGTGAGAGGTAATGGAGATCTAAACGTGCTACTGTTTCCCCCGTGGACTTTTCTTTTGGGAATAAATGTACTTGTTTAAGAGAGAAAAATAGTTTTAATTGTTCATTATATCATGTGAAAATAAAAACACTTCATTACATTAACAGCTGTGGTGTTAATTAGTGCTAAGTGATTCACTAATATGAAGTAGGTTAAAATAAAAAGAAGAATATAATGAGATTGCAGCAGCTTCAAGAGAGGAGATTAAACCGCGCATTACAGGAAGAAGCCAGTGGTAACAAGACTGCCTATCCCAAGGGTACCTGACTTGTAAGGATAGTTGTCTGATATATAAATTTAAACATTCTTTAAATCTCTGTTACTTGTGACAGGATGTCCAGTATTGTGCTACAGTGTCTCACCAATTTCATACTGGAATCCTGCTCCTCTCTGTTGAGAAATCTATCTGGCAACATCTCAGTCGTCTCTGACATGATTTGGTGCTCACAGCTCAGACATTTATGCTTCCATTCTGCTGGCACTGACTATGTCCATCTTTCTCCACTACTCTAAATCTTCCTGCCCTCTTGTCTGTCCTTTGTTTTAAGTGGTTCGCACTGTCCATTGAGGATTCATGAGTGGTGTGAAAGAAAGAAAAGTAGATGAAATCTTTGTTAAATATTACCAAAAGGATTTGGGGTTTATTGGTAACTTCAGTCATAATGGGAAATATTTGTATCTATATTTATACTTTTAGTCTATATTTATACTTTCAGTTTATCTAAAGAACAAATTCCAAATGTTTTCAGAAATTCTTAGCCTTCTTCAATTTGTTTTTGTGAGTCATGGATTAAGTCTAAAGATCTTGTCATTCCCTTGCTCAAAAACCCCACAGTGTCTTCCTTGCTTTGCACTTAGACCAAAAGCTGAATTCTCTACTCTGGCATTTTGTGTTTGGTCTCTGTTGCTTTCTGATCTCATTTGTGGCATTCTGTCCTTATTTATTCTGACCCAACACACTAGTGGCTTTTCAGTCCTATGCCAGTTCCTATGCATGTCTACCTCAGGATCTTTGTGTATGCTCTTCCTTCCACCTGAGATTTTCTTCTCCCTCTATGTGGCTGGCTTTTCCTCTGAAGTCTCATTTTATATGTCATCTCCTCAGAGACTCCTTCCCAACAATCCTAACCCAAAATAGGTCCCCATGTAATTCTTTTTTTTTCCACATTACATAATAACTTACATTTTTTTCTCATAACTTGTTTTTCTCTTTCACTAGAGTTGTACTTTTTCAGTTCACCAAGTGCCTATTCAGGAAATTCTTTATAAGGGATTTACTATGTAGAAAAATAACAATGACAATATACAATAAATGTGTCAGGAACTGTTGTAGAACTTTATATGCCTTACCATATTTAATCCTCACAACAGTCAAGTAAAAGGGAGACACTTTTTTTACCTCCATTTTCCTGTAGCAGAGGAAATTGTAGAAAATCCAAGGGTAATGAAGGAAGTGGCAGATTTTGAACTTGATGCCACGTCTGTGTCACTCCAAAGGTTCTTTCTTTTGTTGCTTTAACAAGACAATGCCTCTTACTGAAACCCTGCTCAGCATCCTCACCAAAGCTATCTGGATAATGTAGCATAAAGGCTGAAACTTAAAGAATTTACAAGATTTGTAGGGAGAGATCAGAGTAAGAAAATTATTGACTAGAAATGTATGGCTTCAATTACCATGGCTGACAGGAAGGGATCAGAGAAAGCTTTCTTCTCTGTTCAAGCACTCCCCCTGGCACAAATGGAATGAAGCAAGCATAGTATATGTATATTTTTTAATAATGGAGAAATACATTTTTAAAATACATTTCATTTATTACTACTAAAAATAATTAACCTTGTGTCAAGATAAATATCACATATTTGCAACTATGCCAAAAATACCCTCCAAACAGGCAGAAAGTTGTATTTCTTTTAGCTTCAGATCAGCCCTTATTTTGGGACAAATTATACCTGGAATGTACCATTATCCCTCTCAACCATATTTTTCGGTCTAGATTTGGAAATCATGGAAGAATCACAGGAAATTCTAACTAGGAATTAGAAAGCTCAGCAAGAATTAGTGAGATAAAGTTCTTCTTTCCCATATTTTTATTGGTGCATTATAATCATACATAATAGTGGAATTCATTATTATCTATTTGTATATGCACACAATATAAAATGTAACTAGTCAATATCATTCCCCAGTATTTCCCCTTCTTCACCTTCCTTCCTCCTCCTGGTCCTCTTCTTTTGGTTTCTTTTCAAATTTTGGGAGATCTTCATTCCCACCTTTCTTTTCCTTTACACATATGAGAAAAAAACATATGCCCCTCATATCCTGAGTTTACACATATGAGAAAAAAACATATGCCCCTCATATCCTGAGTTTGGCATTTTTACTTGACTAATGCTCTTAAGTTCCATCCATTATTCTGCAAATGATATAATTTCATTCTTTTTATGGCTGAATAAAATTCCATTGTGTATATATGCCACATTTTCTTTATCCATTCTTCCATTGGCAGACACCTAGGCTAAACAATTGTAAGTTTGTCTATTATGAATTGTGCTAATAAAGATGGGCATGGAAAAAACAATAAAGCTGGGCATGCATATGTCACTATGGTATGATGACTAATTCTTTAGGATAAATATTGAGGAGTGGTATAGCTAGAGATTACATTTGTGGTCTTTTGAGGAGCCCCCATACTAATTTCCATAGTGGTTATATTTGTACACTCCCACCAACAATGTAGAAATGTTCCTTTTTCTCCACATCCTCTCCAGTTTTTATTATTGTCTGTATTCTTGATGGCTGCCAATCTAACTGCAGTGAGGTGAAATCTCAGCACAGTTTTGATCTGCATTTCCCTAATTGCTAAAGATGTTGAACATTTTTTCAACTATTGATTGGCCATTTGTATTTCTTGTTTTGAAAAGTGACTCTTCAGTTTATTTTCCCATTTATTAACCAGACCATTTGTTCTTCTGTTAGTTTTTTATTTCTTTTTTTTTATTAGTTACACATGACAGTACAATGATCTTGACAATTCATACATTTGAATCAAATGGGGTATAATTTCTCATTTTTCTGATTGTACAGGTTGCAGAATCACATTGGTCATACAGTCACCTATATACATACAGCCATAATAATGTCTATTTTATTCTGCTGCCCTCCCCTCCCATCACATCTCTCTACCCAATCCAATGTGACACACTTCTTTTTTTTTCTCCTCACAACATCATACATGTATTCTGTATAATGATGAGGGTCTCCTTCCATCTTCAATGTAATTCCCCTTCTCCCACCTTTTCCCTCCCACCTCTCTTCCCTATTTAGTGGTAATCTTCTTCTCATGATCTTCCTCCCTATCCCATTTTGAGTCACCCCCCTTATATCAGAGAAGACATCCGGCATTTGTTTTTTAGGGATTGGCTAACTTCACTTAGCATAATCTGCTCTAATGCCATCCATTTCCCTGCAAATGCCATGATCTTGTTATTTTTTAGTGCTGAGTAATATTCCACTATGTATAAATGCCACATTTTTTTATCCATTCATTTATTGAAGGGCATCTTGGTATCGCGATACCAGATTTTTAACTATACTACAGAGCAATAGTAACAAAAACAGCATGGTACTGGCACCAAAACAGGCTGGTAGACCAATGGTACAGAATAGAGGAAACAGACAAATCCACAAAATTACAACTACCTTATATTAGACAAAGGTGCTAAAAGCATGCAATGGAGAAAGGAGAGCATCTTCAACAAATGGTGCTGGGAGAACTGGAAATCCATATGCAACAAAATGAAATTGAATCCCTTTCTCTCACCATGCACAAAAGTTAACTCAAAATGGATCAAGGAACTAGGAATGGAACCAGAGACTCTGCATCTAATAGAAGAAAAAGTTGGCCCTAATCTCCATCATGTGGGGGCAGGCCCCAAATTCCTTAATAAGACACCTATAGCACAAGAGTTAAAACCAAGAATCAACAAATGGGATGAATTCAAACTAAAAAGTTTTTTCTCAGCAAGAGAAATAATATGTGAGGTGAATAGGGAGCCTACATCCTGGGAACAAATTTTTACCCCTCACATATCAGATAGAGCTCTAATCTCTAGAGTATACAAAGAACTCAAAAAGTTAAACAACAAAAAATAAATAACCCAATCAACAAATGGGCCAAGGACCTGAACAGACACTTCTCAGAGGAGGATATACAATCAATCAACAAATACATGAAAAAATGCTCACCATCTCTAGCAATCAGAGAAATGCAAATTAAAACTACTCTAAGATACCATCTCACTCCAATAATAATGGCAGCACAAACAACAATAAGTGCTAGCAAGGATGGGGAGCAGGGGAGGTACACTCATACATTGCTGGTAGGACTGCAAATTGGTGCAGCCAATTTGGAAAGCAGTATGGAGATTCCTTGGAAAGCTGGAAATGGAACCACCATTTGACCCAGCTATTCCCCTTCTTGGACTATACCCAAAAGACCTAAAAAGAGCATACTACAGGGACACAGCCACATCAATGTTTATAGCAGCACAATTCACAATAGCTAGACTGTGGAACCAACCTAGATGTCCTTCAGTAGTTTTTTTATTTCTTTATATATTCTGTCAGAAGAGTAGCTAGCAAAGATTTTCTCCCATTCTGTAGGTTCTCTTTTCACATTCTTGTTTATTTTGTTATGCAGAGGCTATTTAATTTTATGCCAT